CGTTACAAGGCCTTCACTGCACCCGTTCGGACAGAACAGCTGACTGTGGTAAGATGCGCAGATGAGGACTGCAATGTCAACAACTCCTGGTGTACAGACAACAGCACCATTGCCAGGCACTGTTCTGCCGACCTAGAATTTCTCATGGTTAAAAGCAGAGCCTTCTATCTGCCCAGAGAATTCACATCCATCATCACAATTGCAGCCTATATCACCGGATGCTAATGCTACGCTAGCTATGAAGGAACTGCATATAGCCATTAGCAGACATTACACCCGGAGTATGTCTTAATCATTGCTGGAGATTTCAATCACTCCAACCTAAAGACTGTTCTCCCCAATTCCACCAACATGTCTCCTGTCCCACAAGAGGAGATAAGACCCTAGACCAGTGTTTCTCAAAGTGGGGGGCGTTCCCCCCTGGGGGGCGCAGAGGCATGACAGGTGGGGCGATAGAGACCAGCAGGAAAAATGGTTATGAATTTCTTTTAAATAAATAACTCATAATTTAGAAAATTATTGATTCAAAAATAATATGATACAGTACAGTACAAGTACGTCTGGGTCTCTGTGTTTCATTCAAGCCTGGCTCTGTGTGTGTGTGTGGAACGAGCCATTTTGTGCGCACCGGTACCGGAGATCGTTGTTGTTAGCTTCTGGTGCTAGCGAGCTACGCTAACGGATATAAGGAGCTTTTTCCACAACAAGGTGGAGGAGAGACCTCTCCTGTCAGACTAAGAGGCTCAGTGAACTAAAGGACTGTTTAGATAGTTAACTTTAGTCTAAGTTATCTCAGTGGGTCTCAAACGGTTTGGTCACGATTAATTTAAACAATTATTTCCAAGGCACACATTTATATGATCATTAGTTATAAAAAAATAAGAGAATAAATGAAAAACAGGTATGAAATACAGGACTACGCATAGCTTCTTCCCTTCAGCAGTCTGACTGCTGTCAATGAACCCCACGCTGTCCCACACAGCACACTAGTGTTGTTGTGTGCTGTGTGTATTTATTCTTATGTATACATTTTACATCTATTTACCTTTTACTTTTATCATTTATTTTGTACAGACTGCTGATAGATGTGTATATAACTGACTGTTTACACTCTGGTTAGACCAGGCATGGGCAAACTAAGGCCCGCCGGCCATATACGGCCCGTTGGGCTTTTGAATCCGGCCCGCCGAATATTGGTACAAAATTGTACAAATTATAGTAAAGACCGCATTAATTTTGCCTTTTTCCTGCAATACCCAGCATTTCAGTTGATCCCACTAGATGGCGCACAATTTACCTTTGCTGTAATCTGGTCTATTCTCTCAACTGGCCCCACTCGGCAACCCGGCAAGATCCAAGAACCAAATACGTGACGCTTACATTGGAGGGGGTCGAGATTAACCTGAGCAATAACAGTTCATGGCGAGTACGGCGAATACAAGTTGTAACAAGCAAAGTGACTAGAACGTGACCACACACTTATAAAAAACACTTATATAACCAGGCTTAGTGTGATTCTGTTTATTTTACCTTACTTTAATAACCATCCGTTCACTGTTATTGACCATTGTGAAGAGGCAGACGTTTTCCTGTTGTTTTGTATTATAGCAGTTATCGGATGGAATCAATGGGCTACATGTGGCCATCACAAGTAAAATCATAACGAAAACTACGCCGGTAAAATATGCATGTAGAAAATGGCTTATGCCACAATATGATAGCAACAAGTATCAAGATAGAATGATTAGCTAACATCACCTGTAGAATGCCAGAGAAACTTTCATAACAGCGTTGTGATACACACAGCCACACAGCTTTCAGACTAAAACACATTCACTTATGGGGATGGGGGATATTTATCAGCTGCTTGTGTGACAGTCAGACAATGAAAACTTTACAGCGGCCGCTGCCGCGAGTTAATAGGAGAATAAACTCCGGTAGACGAGAAGCACTGCAGCGGGCAGTAATGCAGCTGAAACACATTAATAAACAATGCACCACGGCACTCTGGAGAAAGGTATAAGGTTGCAGAAGTAGTTATTTAATGTAATCTGGCTTCGTATAATTAAAAACTACCCGACGCAGTCCTCTATCGATGTTGTTGTGAGCGGTGTTGCGGAGAAAATCAGCGACGTAAAACGCTGTGTGGGTCATAAGAAGGCACGTAAACGGTTACGTCATGACGCAAACGATTACGCAATGACGCAATAATTCACCTTTGAACCTGCATCTGTAACAATGAGTGGACCAAAGAAAAGAAAAGTCAACATTGAGTGCCGAGTGTATAATGAGGAGTGGACAGCTAAATATTTTTTTACCGATCTGCTACTGGCCCGGCCCGTCTGTCAAATTTAAAACTCATAGTGGCCCCCGAGCCAAAAAGGTTTGCCCACCCCTGGGTTAGACTCTCTTAATTTTGTTACACTCTGCTTGCATTATGTAATGACAATAAAGTAATCTAATCTAATTCATGGTTAAATGAAATAATAAATAAAGAATTTGGGCAGCCACTGACAGCCAGTGAAGGGAGAGGAGGAGCAGTGTGGCCAGGACCTGTGTCACCTTTAGCCACCTGCTAACTCATCTACACATCCAGACTTTCTGTGTTATTTATGGCAGTTAAGTCAATTTAGACTACATTTTTCTAATATTGTGGATGAAAGGATATTTGGACAGTCAGAGATCCAGGCTTCTAAGGACAGATGTCTACTTAATGTCCACCCTTCAGAGCCACTGCCATACACCATGGTTATGAACTTGTTTGCCAAAAAAAGTGTTTCCTCTGGACTTTGGCGAGCAAATATTTAATTGCTGTCTCTAGTCTAGAACAAGACTAAGGAGGCAACAGACATACAATATGCTACGCACAAAATTATTTATTATTCCGCCGGGCTAGTTTTCACCTCTTCTTCTCCCACATTCCACATCGCAGAAACTCCGTTCAAACATCAAAACATTCAGCTCGGTCGGGAATCGAGTGCTATTACTTTTTTCATTCATAACTTTCATAATTTCAGAGATACATCCCATAATTCATCAAATGTTTAACATGGAAGTCAATGGAGAAACTCTTCAGACTTGAACAATCTTCATGCGACTTCAACTGCTAACTGCTCCTTCATACTTTCACTCAGAAACCTCATTCGAACTTTAAATGTTACACATCTTTCTGACATTATTCGTGTAACACAACTTTTAAATCTGATTCGTACTTTTAGAGATATTAAACATTGTTCAGACCTTGGTAAAGAGGTTTTCTTCAGATTTTAGAGTGCGTGATGTCACAGCTAAGTGGAGGACAGATTTAATTTTGCCTTCATATTTTCTTTTAAACCTGCCATAATTCCCAAACCCTACATTCCTGAGACATAATTTTTCATCACAAACGTAGGAAAACATCTCGTAGCTTGAAAAATTAAAAATAATTAAGCAAAATAATTAAACAAAATGCCTCTTGAGGGCATGAAGTGACAAAAACATTCAACATGTCTCCATTAAACCCCATTGTAAGTTCAGCCTCATCGATCCCCACCACAGCAGTCGCACACCTTTAGTTAATCGGCCAAAAAGGCCACATTATCAACACTTCAGATGCTCAACTTCCTTGACATGCTTCACACTTTTCACCGATATCTGTTACGGTTCTTCAACAAAACGTTCACATGTAAGAGGTTTATCTCTCATTCAGAACAATGTCATAACTCCAACTGACATGCTCAGAGCAGCAGACTTCAGATAATGGTTAATGGTCTTCCCCTCAACAGCTCTACGTCAATTATGGGGTGTCATCATATGCCGTTTCCATGGAAACGCATCCCTCGCCATAAAAGACGATGTCGCTGTACATTAACTCCTATGAAAATGTTCAAAAAGTGCTGAAACTTCACATGTGTGCTAACAGTCCAGCCGTGAAGACATCTACGGGACAGTTTTGAGATTTCTTCAAATGTCTTTGCCATGGCAACACAATGCTCGCCATGAAACACAGTTTTCTCATAACTTCAGTGAAAATGCTCCAAACGGCCCAAAACTTCACAGGTTTGGTAACGATGCAGCCATCAATGCATCTAAGCGTAATATGGGATGTCATCACATGCCGTTGGCATGGCGACAGATCATTCGCCATCAAGTTAGTTCAAAAGTTTGCACTTCAAATATTCTGCTGCTTTTCCAAGCCTTTTTTACTTTCTTTTCTTCTCTCATCACACATTCAAGCCCCCAGTGTTCATGTATCATTTCAATCTGAATTCTTCACTTTCTTCTTACACATTACATTTCAGCATAGCAGTTTAGTGTCAGCTTTTCAGCATAAAGCATTCCCACTAGCAATTTCTTAAGGAATTGCATTCTCTAGTTGTATTATGTGCTTCTTCTGTGACATTTTGTACATGCTTTAATGTTCAAAAAGCTCTTTATTTTTCTCATACCGCCTGTCTACAATCTGTTTGAGCGGTAGCCAATAGAAGTGCATGTGTTACATAGTGATGTCCTTATGTAACACAAGTTAACAAAGGATTGCAAGGGAGGCGTTTCAGGCAGGGGGGGGGGGAGTTTGTGGGAGAGAAACTCCCTCGGAAGGGAACACAGGGATTTTAGCCTCTGCAGACCATTTACATGCAAAGATACCTATATAACACACTACAGGATAGGGAAAGGCCTTTTTAATGAAACCCAGAGCAAACACAGTCTGACTTTAACTTTATTAGGGTCTCTCAACTTCCCCTTCGTGGTAATTATCTCTCTCTCTCCGTCTTTAATTTTTTCGGTGAAAATTCCCGCTGAGGAAGGACTGCATGTTTGAAACGTTCTCCTTTGTCCCGTATACTTTGACAGTGACTTTAATTTTTCCTTCCCTGATTGGATGGCTGTGCTCCTCCTTTCCTGCCCTTCACCATTAACTGACCACTCAGCCTGACACTTGGCTATTACTCTGAATCATACTTGTCAGACACTTTACACCCCCCTCCCTCTCTTCCTTTTTCTCCTCCTTTCATCTCCAGCTCCACTCCAACTCCGACAAGGCTGATGGTTCTGTGCGCTACATCCTGTCGGGGGAGGGGGCTGGGTCCATCTTCATCATTGACGAGATAACGGGTGACATCCACGCAGCGAGGAGCCTGGACCGGGAGAGGAAGCCTCAGTATGTGCTCCATGCCAGGGCCGTGGAGCGGCAGACCAACCGCTCCCTGGAGGCGGAGTCAGAGTTCATCATCAAGGTCCAGGATGTCAACGACAACGCCCCCACGTTCCCTAAAGGACCCTTCAACGCAACTGTGCCTGAGAGGTCAGAAGTTGGTAAGCAGGGTTGGGAGGGTTACTTTAAAAATGTAATCCATTACAATTACTAATTACCTGTAAAAAATGTAATCAGTAACATAATCACAATATAAATGTAAAAGTTACTTTCCGTTACTTTTGGATTACCTCAATAACAAATGCAAAAGACAAAATAAATATCAACAAGATTCCAAATTCCAAATGAGCTTTTTTGGTGCACACATACAAGGACCTTGACTTTTTCCATTGCTCTCACTAGTGATGCGTAGATTGCAGTCATAACCGCAGGTTTAATTCACAGACCAGACGGGGTCATAAGATCATCAGAGTAGTATCGGAAGGATGGCGGATGGGTGAAATAATACATAATTAATTAGGAAAAGCAGTAAAACAATGGCTATCAAAGTCTCTTCGCATCAACACTGCGGGGTATGGAATGAAGTGTGTGTGTGTGTGTGTGTGTGTGTGTGTGTGTGTGTGTGTGTGTGTGTGTTGTCTCGAGTTAGTATAATTATATGAAAGTAATGTATCCTTATTACTTTTCTGTTACTTTTGAATCAACTATATTTTACTTCAGTGTATTAGGAAGTAACACAACGGAACAATGTGACCTTAGAGAAGGCAAGGCAAGGCAAGGCAACTCAAGTTTATTTATATAGCCCTTTTCAACACAAGGCGATTCAAAGTGCTTTACAAAAAATGAAAGACGTTAAGAAAATGGCATTTAAAATCAGTCATTAAAAAGAAAAGCTAATGAAATAAACATTAAAAGAAAAAATACATGGATAAAAGTTACAGTGCAGTCTAAGATATGAATAGTTCAATTAAACATTAAAATACAAAATACATGGATAAAAGTTACAGTGCAGTCTAAGATATGAATAGTTCAATTAAAAGCAGCGACAAAAAGAAAAGTCTTCAGCCTGGATTTAAAAGCAGTAAGATTTGCAGCGGACCTGCAGGTTTCTGGGAGTTTGTTCCAGATATTTGGAGCATAATAACTGAATGCTGCCTTACCTTGTTTAGTTCTGACTCTGGGGACAGAAAGTTGACCAGTCCCTGAAGACCTGAGAGATCTGGATGGTTCATAATTTAGCAGGTCAGAAATGTATTTTGGGCCTAAACCATTCAGTGCTTTGTAAACCAGCAGCAGTATTTTGAAATCTATTCTTTGACACACAGGAAGCCAGTGTAAAGACTTCAGAACAGGAGTGATGTGATCCACTTTCTTAGTGTTAGTGAGGACTCGAGCAGCGGCGTTCTGAATCAGCTGCAGCTTCCTAATTGATTTTTTAGTGAGACCTGTGAAGACACCATTGCAGTAGTCGAGTCTACTGAAGATAAAAGCATGGACAAGTTTTTCCAAATCCTGCTGTGACATTAGTCTTTTAATCCTAGATATATTCTTTAGGTGATAGTAGGCTGATTTAGTAACTGTTTTAATGTGACTGTTGAAACTCAGGTCAGAGTCCATGACTACACCTAGATTTCTGGCTTTATCTGTTGTTTTGAACATTGCAGACTGAAGCTCAGCGCTAACTTTTATACGTTCTGCCTTGGCTTAAAAAACCATTACCTCAGTTTTATCTTTGTTTAATTGGAGAAAGTTCTGACAAATCCAGTCATTGATTTGTTCAATGCACTTACTCAGTGTTTGAATTGGAGCATAGTCTCCTGGTGTTACGTAAATGTGTGTGTCATCTGCATAGCTATGGTAACTTATTTTGTTGTTTTTCATTATCTGAGCCAGTGGTAGCATGTAGATGTTAAAGAGAAGAGGCCCCAACATGGAGCCTTGAGGAACCCCACATGTCATATTTGTCAACTCAGATGTGTATTTACCTATAGAAACAAAGTTGTTTCTGTCCTTTAAGTAGGATTCAAATCAATTTAGAACTGTTTCCGAAAGTCCCACCCAGTTTTCCAGTCGGTCTAGTAATATGCTGTGGTCAACAGTGTCAAACGCAGCACTGAGATCTAATAATACTAACACTGAAGTTCTGCCACTGTCTGTGTTTAAGTGGATGTCATTAAAGACCTTTACAAGAGCAGTCTTAGTGCTGTGGTTTGGACGAAAGCCTGACTGGAACACATCGAAACAGTTATTTAAATGCAAGAAATTACTCAACTGTTGAAAAACAACTTTTTCAATGATTTTACCTAGAAATGGGAGGTTTGATATGGGCCTGTAATTGTTCATTACTGAAGCATCTAGATTATTCTTTTTTAAGAGCGGTTTAATGACTGCAGTTTTCAGGGCCTGTGGAAAAATACCTGAGTGAAGAGATTTGTTTACTATATGAAGTAGATCTGAGGCCATGCAAGGCAAAACATCTTTGAAAAATCCTGTTGGAATAATATCAAGGCAGCAGGAGGAGGATTTCAGAAGTTGTATAATGTCATCTATGTTTTTATCATTAATCTGATGGAATTGTGTCATGGTGTTTGAATTTATGTTAAGTGGACAGAGACAACACATTTGCTATTCCTGATGCAGAGGCACTGACTGCTTGTCTGATTTTGTCAGTGAAAAAGGAGGCAAAATCATTGCATTGGTGGATAGAAATTCAGAGGCTACTGACACGGGGGGGTTAGTTAGTCTGTCGACGGTAGCAAACAAGGCACGTGCGTTGTTTTTGTTTTTGGTAATGATGTCAGAGAAGAACGATTGTCGTGCGTTTTTCAATTCCAAATTATAAAGGCCAAGTCTCTCTTTATAGATTTCAAAGTGAACCTGGAGATTTGTTTTTCGCCACCTGCGACATTCTCTTTTTTCTGTTTTCACGGTCATGGCCTTTCTCCATGGAGATATTTTCTTGCCAGACACTTCCTTTACCTTAGTTGGAGCAATGGCATCTATAACATTTTTTATTTTTTTATTAAAATGATCTACTAGCTCATTTACTGAGATGTTAGCAGGGGCAAGTGTGGAAGAAAAATTCTGAGTAAACATTTCCCTAGTATTTTCAGTTAAATATCGCTTTGTGGTTACCTCTTTTTGAACATTTTTGTGAACAGAAATAGAGCTCTCAAAGAAAACACAGGAATGATCAGAGAGTGCAACATCAGTCACCACAACCTTAGAGATATTCAGACCCTTTGAGATAATTAAGTCCAGAGTGTGTCCCTTATTGTGCGTGGGCTCCATCACATGCTGAGTCAGTCCATAGCTATCAAGAACACAAAACAGTTCTTTTGCCCCTCTGTCCTGGGGGTTGTCAACATGGATGTTAAAATCACCAACAATGACTAGACGGTAGGGGTGTAACGGTATCCGTATTCGTCCCGTACCGTCGCGGTTCGGACGTCACGGTTCGGACGTCACGGTTCGGCACATGCAGTCACACGGCGAATACGCCTTTTTTTTACGAGTGGGAAAAAAGTCTGTCGCTCAGGGCAGTATTACACTATATATAATCCAGGGAGCGGTATTACGCCTAAAAGCCAGCCGCCCATAAATAACAAATGAAGAACAAGAACAAAACGAACACAATACATGAAGAAGAAAAGTTAGTAGCTATGGCGAGTTCCCACAACACACAGGAGCTAGAACCCACCTGCTTCTTTTAAATCAGCTGTGTGGGAACATTTCGGGTTCCCTGTGGACTACAACAATGATGGGGTGCGAGTGGTGGATCGGACGAGGACGGTGTGTCGGCGTTGTTCGACAGCGCTGCGGTATGCTAGTGGTAACACGTCAAACATGCTCAATCACATCCGAGTCAGTCTCAGTCCCCAGCGAGAGGGTTTTCTCGACGGCAGGTGACATAGTTACCGCCAACAGATCTGCCCTCACTACTGACAACGTAGACAAACTCATCTTTTTGAAGAACAACTTGAAAATAGAGTAAAGCTTGAGTACCTTTATTTAGGCATAATGGCCTCACACACACTCACACGTTAATTACACATGTTAGACATTGCTCCTAAAGGTACACATTTTATTTTGTTTTATATTTAGCATTGTATTTATTTTATATTTTGACATCAGGAGATGTTATACAGTTCTGTATTGCCTTTTATTGATTGTGATTGAAACACTTTCTTATTATTTATTTTAATATTTTCAAGACATTCTTTTTAGTTGTACAGCTTATTTAACCTTTTTGTTTGACATCAGCCAATATAAATAATATGGCCATCTGAGTGTGTCTGTGTTACTGTTTGTGGTTTGTTTTTAACTGTGTAATACAGTTAATGATTCCAAATGGTAGAGTTCCTTATTTTCATACCAAAACTTGCACTACTGTTACAAATAAATAACAGCAAAAAAAATTATGCATTTGGGACTTTTTTTACACAGACCTTTTACATCTCTTACAGCAGAGTCACCCACAATCAGAGTTTAAGGCCCAGTCATTAGCTTTCCCTCTAGCCTTTTACTTTTGGAGTAGCTATTGGTCCTTACCCTGCTGTGTGAAGAGGACAGGTTATCCAGGTCATCAGAAAGAGATGTCCGGTTCTCGGTCAGCGGAGCGTATCTGTTCTGGATTGGCACACTTGGTGGTTTAGGAGGATTGTTTGTAATTCTCCCTTTAGCAGTTGTCCACTGCTGTTTCCTAGTATGAATAGGGGTTGAAGAGGCGCTCTTCCTGGGTGATAACAATGCAGGCCAGCCGGTCGCAGCACAGATTTCAGAGCGCTGGGCTCTGCCTGTTATCCGTCCTCCCAAATCCCATGGAAATGATTTACTCTTAGGCTTTGCACCCAGAGAGTTCCAGGGAGGACTACCACTTGTAGATTTATTACCCAGTACACAGCCCTCCTGTTCCTTGGAATCCTTGTAGCTGCTAACTAGCTGTGAGTTAGCATACCCTTCTCCATTATTTTGCAACACTGGTAAAGTGGTGTCATTCCCACGACATAGTCCATTCACTTCCACGTTAACTTCCAACCGTTGCATTTTCATTTACAACACAGCGATCTTCTGTATAAGTTTGTGGAAGTCATCTCTAGAGAACGGAGGCATTTTGCTACCAACTAGCTTAAGCTAAATAGCATGCAGTAGCCTACCAGGC